CACATGTGACATCACGTGACTGTGATCACACATGGGCTGAACTTGAGACAGTCACGGACAGTGCAACTATTTCACCCCCCAACCAATTTGTTTCCATTCGACTGTTCCTGTATCTTGCCAGACCAGAATAGACATTTCTCGCACATGCTTGCTCTTTTTCCGGCCCGAAAACATCTCTGCAGCAACCGTTCAAGGATCATCTGAACAGAGGCTCCCTCTCAATGATCCTGGGATTGGGATGAAATCTTCCTGCATATCCTCCGGGAAATCTCGGTCTTCTCTCCTCGAACCAGGGATCTTCCGGATCGAATCGTGGTCCATGGCGTCCAAATCTTCCTGGCGGGCTCCTCCCTCTTCGTGGTTCTCTCACAATGTAGATAGGTTCAGGTCGTCGTGGGCGTTCGCTGGCCCTGACGACTTCCTCCCAGGGGATGCCGGTAGGTAGATGTCGAGATGGTGGCGGCATTCGAAATCCAGGTTGTCCTCTTCGACGGGTCAAGAGATCAGGAGGTGGAATTCTTTCGAATGCATCGGGCTGGTTGCAGAGACAGCCAAACACCACGATGAATAGTAAGATGGAGCCGACGACGGTAATGGGCACCCATATCTTTTGTGCGTCGCTGTCATCCATGTTTGCGATATGAGGAGCAAGTTGAAGTCGGGCTTCTGCGGGTGTGATAAGTTTTGGTGTAGAGACGACTCTCAAATGGCTGCATTTCTCATCCGGCCTCTTCACAGAGAAGATCGTGATTTTAATTCTTGACAGCGACATCTGCTATCTCTGTCCACTCTCTGCAAACGAGCAAACAGGTGTAGAATGAGTTCTGTTTGTATGTTTGCAGAAACTCTCAACCGGTCAAACGGTCGAATGGCACAAGGAATCAAACATGGCGCTTTGATGCAATTCAGCTTCCATTCAGGTTGAGGAGACCATTCCCTGCATCATCTGTGGCTGTGCAGTTGATTCATTGATCAACAAGAATGTTTTCATCTTCTTGATTGTACCAATTGATTTTTTCAGAGTCACGACCACCGACCATTTCGCCCATGGTCGGCAATCATCCAACCTGCTTGGTTGCTCGAAGTAGCTGAAATCTTGAAAGGTATTGAAACAGACTCGCCAGATAAAAGCTCGCCACCACTTCCTCATGGCTGAAGATTGTCTGACTCTCACTGACTACAAGTGCCGGAGCTTTCAGTAGTTGTGGTGGCCGACGTACGCCGTGTGAGTGCTTGTTTGATATGGATCCCACTCTCTGTTGGCGACATCTGTAAGTCTGATAATGGCTAGAAGCCTCTTCTGAAATCCTGTGTGGTCTGGTGCTGATTCGCGGCTTTTCAGAATGTCACACTTGGATAACCGTCCTGTATATTTGGTTGATATACACTGGTAAAGTCTGCCTCACTGATTGCTCCATATGCAAACGCATCGAGAGCCATCAGTGGGTTGTAGTCCGTCAGGTTGTATACGTGAGGATTCGACATCGTTTGATGGCTGCCTTGGCCCGACTGGAAGTAGGCTTGAGACTGTGACTGCTCTATATGCATGGGGTTATGCTGCATTGGGATGTACTGATTTTCAGCGGTGGGAGGCTTGATCACCTCTTCCTGCTCTTCCTGTACCTGTAGGGACTTTTGAGGCTTGGATGTTTTTGCTGACGTCGACGGAAGAGGCAACCTTTTCTGCTTGGACGTTTTATCCGACACGGTCTGTGGTATATGATTGAAAGCCGGCATGTCGCTGTAGAGTTCCGGATACCGTTGGAATATATCGGGACCCATCGTCCAGCATTTGATATCTGACAGTCTCTGATCAAACATGGGGCTGACTTTGTAAAGGCCAGTCTCGACTTCTCGCGTATAACAGTCGCGAAATTCGTACGGCCACAGAATCCGCAAGCTCCGACAGAACAAGTGCCAGAACTCATTCTCGCAGTAGTTGTGTTCACTGAAGATGAATCGTTCCCGGATTCCTGGCCATGCAAAGTAATCGATGGCGTAAGAATGAGCTATCGACTGCGACGGTCGGCGCATGTACCACGCTGGCAGGCGCTGGTAGCGTTCCGAAGTCGACTCGGTATGGAACTGTAGAAGCGCATGCATTGCCCTCAACACTGCCAAACGTTCAGTCTTGGGACATGTGATGAACAAAGTCTGGTCGATCTGGCGCAGAATCTGCCATGAAGGATGCAAAGGACCTCGTTCGGCGACTGCATCCCAACCTTCCAGTAATGCACGGATGGGAACGTCGTCAGAAAGGGCATCGGTCGCCGGTTCCACATCCTCACTCCAGTTGAAGCGCTCGCTCAACACTTCGTTGGCGTACACCCAGTAGTTTCCTCGCCAGAGCACAGGTCGACCAGGCACATGCTTGGAATGGTTATGACAAGCACACGAACTGTTAGGTTTGGCCCAATTGTTGGCCCATCGCGAGGGCATTGGGTTCTCTTCCCGAGTGGTTTTGCACTGCACTAGAGCCTGACTCCTGGGAAGTGGACTGTCACTGTCCAAGCGCACGATTTCCGGAGCAAACAGCGTGTCTTGTGACTTGAGCTGGTTAGGAGGCGGAGAGGTAAAGTTCGCCATATCGAAACCGTGGACACGAGGAATCTCTTCGACAGGTTCGATCTTGAGGTTCATGGGCACATCGTCGGCTAAGGACGTGATGCTCGATTTCCGCTCCCCATCTCCTTCAATGTAGATAGTGCTCGAGTGTTCCTCATTCTGGCTCAAGGGCTTCGCTATATCCATTGCCTTTTTGATATCTTTCAGTGTTCTTGCCATCATGTCTCTCTCCCCTTCCACCTCTTGAAGTTGTTTCATCAGGGTGGCAACTTGGCCTGTGGCATCCTGTCGCCGGATATCATTCACCAGACCTTCGAGGTAGGCTATTCGAGATTTTGTTCGTTCGCGGGCTTGACGTTGGCATCGTCGGTCGATTTCTCGCTTTTTGAGTCGTCGGGAAGAGACACCTTTCTCGCTGGATTCGGCGGAGTCGACTAGACTGTGCTTTCGGTCGGCTGTTGTGGTCGTGGTAGCCATGATGTTCGATGGAGGGGACGTCTTTGGACGATGTTCATGTCGAGGATGACAATCAGTCTAGGTATTGCACGTAGAAATTCAGTGCTTGAAGGAGACGGAAGAAAAAGGGTGCCTGTTGTCAAAGCGTGAGGCCATGATGCTGTTGAGGCGCAGCCGGCGGTTCTCGGTTCAGTTTCGATGTTCCGGATAGGATGATCGACCCCGGACTTTGGGCATGCACGGGCTGTGGGAGGCTGGTGCGCAGCCATCTGGGGTTGGCCCTGACCACCCACTGACCGCTTTCTGGTGAGCTGGTGACGGTGACGATGGGGCTTGCATAGCGGCTGGCCACCCACTGGCCACCTCACCACTGACTATCCGTAGTTACTGTGTACCTAGGTTAGTAACCGAAGATTTGAAGGACGAATCTCGGTCAATCGCCCATTCATCCTCGTAACGAGTTGAAGATCGGCATAGGGACAATTGGCTGTCACTTGCAGAGGAAGTCGTCTCCGCGCCACCAGTCTCCTCCTTGCCCTCCTGAAAGAGCTTGTTCTTCCTTCTCGCCGTTCGGCAGACGTCAACACTGTCACCTAGAATGCATGGGGCAAGATAGGAGGATATCGTCTCTTCGCAACGGCTTTTGCCGGCCTTTGGACAATCGTCAAGGCCAACGCTGTCAAAGCAGTCAATAACGCAAGAGGCGCGCTCGCAACTCGTACGGAATCGAGGTTTCAAGACATATGCCCTGCAGATCGCAGGATACGCCCGTAGGAACGATGTCCGTCTCAGGCAATCCCAGCTTCGAACATGGCGAGGCTTCACTGGCTCGACGACAAACCATGCACCCTGGAACTTTGAAGTTGCGCTACAGAGGACGAGTCAAAGGACGAGTACGTCCGGCTGTTGTGAATGGCAAGTTCAGTGTAAAACCTCTGATCAGACGATGAGTTTGACTTGTCACTAACTGAACTCACTCACCCATGGCCATGCTCGCTATCACTCGAATTGAGTATATTGTCAAGGCCGTAGTTCCCTTTTCAGTGATGAAGAGTCACCTGTTCCCTCTGTTCCCTCTCGCCCTTTCCCACGAACATTTCGAGCACTTGGGACCCGTCAGAAAGCGCTCCAGGATCCTTGAACAGACCCCATGGCAGCACACCAGTCTCTTCTCTGATCTCCTAGCATGCATAGTCCAAAAAGAATCCAAAGCGGTCGTTGTGAGACATCACCCTTGTCCACGCGCACAACGCCTCTTCACATAACCATGCTTATATCGCGGCTGCTGCTGAACCCTTTTCGTTGCTGCAGAACAGCTTGTCCGATCCCAGGAGCACGTTCACCACACTCGCCCCATGGCACTCGCGCATTCACATGTCCATTCTCTTCTTCACTGACCTCTCTCCCATCCATCCCATTATATCCTCAAGACCACCGATTATTCCACAATATACCTTTCTCAGGGTGGCATGGTGCAATGGTAGCATATCCTCATCTCAGGGGACCCCTCCAAGCTCCCTCTTACTCATTGCCTTCGGGTGATGTTGTCAAGTTGGACTGGGCGAGAGAGCATCCTACCTCAATGAAGAAGATTCTGGTTCAAGTCCAGATGCCGCCAATTGTTGATTATTCTTTTTGCTCCCCTGCCTGATCCCCTGCCTGATCCCCTAGCACCGACCCTGCTTTTCGACTGGTGTCGTTAGTGAAGCTGGTGGGTCGTTGGCGTTCATCACTCTGCGTTGGGACTTCACGTGAAGTGAAACAATCACTTGGCTGGCTGAGGGTATTCTCTTTGTCTCGCAGTACTGACCCAGTATGTCTCACAGTTCTCTAGCAAGCACAACGGCTCGCCATACTTGATAAGGTAGAAATTTGTCTTGCTCAGCGAGATGAACTTCCACCGCGCTGCAGCCCGCCTTCCTGCATATTACCCTTCAAATAATGATTCGACCAGTTTTGGTATCAATCAGAGATGAAAGGGCAGTGTAATGCAGTGGTTAGCATCTCCCTTTCCCATGGGAACAACGCTTCGGGTGTCGTCCCTGGGAGGAAGGGAAAACCTTGGTTCGAATCCGAGCTCTGCCAATCAACATATCTTTTTGCAGATCGGCGGGAAGGGGATTGTTTGGATCGGTACAGTATGCATGTATCAATATCATACTCACTGACCCATCACAGCAAATCATGCTAAGGGCGGTACAGTATGCATGTATCAATATCATACTCACTGACCCATCACAGCAAATCATGGTAAGGGCTCGTCTTTTTGTATGTCGCAGCAACACCGTTAATCTGGAAAAACAAGATATTCTTCGTCTTGTTGGCAACAAGCGATAGCGTCATTGTGTTCACACATCCTGCGAGACTCTCTCACGCTCCTGATCGGACCCATGTCGTCTTGCTGTAGCATAAGCCTTGAACTTCCGAGCAGGAATCCGATTGATAAACAGCTCATCCAGCATTTCGTACGACATGCCGGACGACTCGGGCTGACAGAACCAAAGATATACAATCGAGAGAACGGAAAGCCCTCCAAAAATGAATGTCACTTTCGCTCCGAGGTTGGCCTTGTCGGGATTGAAAAGATAAGGCAGCGTAAATCCCCACATTGTCTAGTATCATAGTATCAGCCAGGAACTTACTCTCGTCAGAAAGCGAGGACCTACAAAGAGTGCACTTTGTAAAGCAAGTGACATCGACGCTGTCTTTGCTCGAAGCCGAGGAGTGGAAATCTCTGTGAGAATAGAGAAAGCAGTGGCTCCAATCGTGGCGTTGTACAGGAAGCAATAAAGCAGAAGAAGGGCGATTGTGCCTTTGATGGCGCCGGGAGTCGCTGAAACGGCCAGTCCTGTTCTTGTTAAACTGATGCTCAATTCCGTCAAGATATTCAGGGTACATACCTCCTGTAATGAGGAGCACCGTGGTCAAAATAACCATGCCCCACAATGTCAATGGCCTCCTGCCAATCCTATCCACAAGGAACCAGGAGCAGACGTTCCCAGCACCGGACACAACCTGTTGAGCAATGAATAGATGGAAACTGGCTGTGGTACTATACCCGGCCAGCTGTTGGTAGTAGGTCGAATAAGATGATACGAAGGCCACACCAGAAAACGTCTGAATAGTCAGAGGCATAGCTGAGACAATTGTCCGTCGGAGGTTTGAGCGTCGAAAGCACTCAGCGTACGTCGCTCCTAAAGTCTCCTCCTTTGTCTTTGAGAGCACCCTTTTCATCTCTGCAGCCTGCTCTTCAGCATCGGTAGGATATCCGAGCTTCCGAAGAGCTAAAATAGCTCCTTCTTCCTTGCCATGATTGATGAACCACCATGGCGACTCTGGCATCCAGGGCAGAAACAACACTGCGACTCCAACAAAGGCATAGCCGGAGAGGAAGGAAGTCCGATAAGCCCAGCGGGATGGCTGATCGCCGGTAAAGTTGACCATGAGCGCGGCAGAGAAAGAACCAAGAATCAGTGCTATAGGTGCAGCTGCTGTAAGGACTCCACGCAATGGCAACGGTGTGACCTCGCCGATATAGGTCATGCACAGCGCGTTTACAGCACCTGTGGAGAAGCCGCCCATGAAGCGTCCTCCGAAGAAGAGGGGATTGGAGATTGAGACGGATTCCAGCGTGATCGAAACGAGTCGGACAGCCAGAGTAATTCCAAGCGTGAGCCTTCGACCCATCTTGTCCGCGAACCAAGCAGCAGATAAAGATCCCATCACAGCCCTGTTGAAGTTAGCATTAGTATGTCCAGAGAGCATGTAACCTACGCGGCCTGAGGTGCTCCGTTGAAGGCAGACTGCCATGTCGCGGACAGGACATAATTCCCATCAAATGCCTTGCCAAAGTCCTTCCTAAACTGAGGTATTCCGAGCACTGAGCTGCCAGCGATCTTGGAATAATTATTGGCAAAGATGCACCAAAGTCCGTACAGACACCACAGCAGTGCCCAGAAATGCCTGTGGGCAGCTTTCAGCAAGCTCGGTTGATTTGTATGTTGGCTCGATGCATCTTGGGATTCTTTTTCGGAGACACTGGCAACATCCTTCAGGGCTGATGATACTGTCTCAGAGGTAGCCATGATAGCCATGATATCTTCGCTAGCAGTCAACTACTAGTAAACTAGTACTGTGCAAGTCTTCTCGTCTCTAACGTTCTGCGATGGTGAATTCGGTGGAGATATACTTGAACCTTGTGGAGAACCCACCGGATGGAACTGCAGATGAATCAGCGGCACGATTATATAAGGCCCGGCAAGAGCACGCTGCAGGTCCAGTCGAGTCTCGTAAATAAAGCGTAGTGGACATGACTGAGGCTTTCGGCGGCTAAAAATGGCACTCCGATCTCAACCGTCTTGGTGTAGCCAACAGCTGATGTGCGCCACAATGCAGTATTATTCATTCAATGGCTGCAAGGCTCGAGATCTAGAATGTCTCGTCAACAAAGTGCACGAGGGTGTTTCGAGGCGCAGGTCGAAAGAATGCTTGATTGCCGCAGAAATTCGAGACGGGATCTTTCGCACGCGATGGTCGAGATTGTCGAGCAATCCATGATTGGCCACTTATCTAAGCGAGCCTGACTAATCACCAATCAGCGTCGACTGTTCAAAGTCCTCTTCGGGAATAGCTTCTGTCCCACCACCGCCTCGTCCACCCCAGTACCATTGTCGTATTCTCGGACCCCGCCTATCTTCGTGCATCTGTAGCCTCGAGAAATTCCCCCAGAGAGTCATAATGAAGGCAGGTCAGAGTTCGAGTTCAAGTCCATATCCAGAACTCAAAGTCTTCATCATACCGTGAATCATGCCCTCTAAACGAGAGCGTCCACCGCTACTATTCATCGTGCAAGACTCCGAGACCTACCCATTACCCAAGTCCTCGAAAGACTATCAATCCTTCGCTATAGCCTCGCATGTCGCGTCTCGATACAATCGCTGGACCAAGAGAACTCGAAAAGGTCTACGACTCGACGCGACCACAAAAGCAATTCTAGCCCCGAAAGCCCCGGTCCCCGAGCCTTTATCAGCATCACCGAGCAATACCACCACCACCACCGTCACCACCAGTCTGAGCGCAGCCTCCGAAGAGGAGGAAGACGAAAAGGGGAACCTGGGGATTGGTAAGCCGCGTGGTTCCGAACGTCAAGTCGTCAACAATCATTGGTTTGCCCTGGCCGAGAGCAGTGCACGATTCCCTGCATCAGCCAGAAAAGCCCCCTCGGAGAAGGCATGGGAGGGAGCGCTGCTCAAATTCGAAGAATTCGTCTCGACTCGGCTATCCAATCTGGGATCCCAGTTCCTCGATCCTTTCGTCTCGCTAAACTATGACGCCGAGATCAAGGCCAATCTGTACTTTTACTTCAACACGATCCGACCTTTTGCGACGCATGTCATCCCGACATGGAACTGGTGTGGCAGTCTCTCCCAAATTCAAGCCTCGCCGGTCTTGACATATGCCGTTGCGACGTTCGCTTCAATATTCCTGTCCGGAATGCTTAGAGGGTAAGCTCGGAGGAGTCGGAGTCGAACCGACAAGTCCAAGGGGGACGGATGGCTAACACTTGTGGCCTCAAATAGCGGTCCCGGAGTCGTCCTACCACCTCCGACAGAGAAAGGGCAAAAGTCGAAATGGCCGATCCCGCCCTGGCTACGCCTTCATACAAAATGTCTGGTCGAACTGAACGCCATCTTGCGAGACCCTTCCGAATCAGTTGATGAATCCTGCTACCATGCAGTATTGTTCCTGTACAGGCTGTCCGTACGTGACCCACGATGGAAAACCCCCCCCTTCGTATACGAACTATAGGCTAACGTTCCCTCGACCAGCTCCTCTTAGCAGACGGCGAAAGCGGCCGTATGCACTTCCAAGGTCTCAGACGTATCTCCACGCTCCTAGGCTACGACGAGGCTCCCCTTGAAACAGAACTAGCCGTGTAAGTCCATCATGCTTTTGCTTTCCTGTGCGGTTGAGCTCCTCATTCTATTCTATTCTGCTTTGCCATTTGGGCTCCTTCTTTCGATTTATTCCCAATCCTAACAAAAATCCAGTACCAAAGTAAACATCATCGGGGCGTACCTTCACAGCTCCTCGATCGTGCTGGTCCGCAAACACGACACTTCCCACCACAACGGTCACCCGCCGCACGTGCGCTCCGAAGTCGAAATCGACCGCCATCTCTGGCCCAGCGAGCGTGAATGGTTCTCTCACCGCGCCCACCTGGCCGGCCGCGTCCTGGCGTGGCGCTCCGAATCCCCCTCGGCCGACTTACAACCCGAGTCGGCACTCGCCATTGCGCGCATGGACCCTCAATCCTCTCTCCTCCACCCACTGGACCTCCAGGAATTGCAACGCTGCTACCAGATCAGCGTCTTCTTCTGGATGCACCTGAACGCCATCTCCTTCAACACCTCCGCGCTGATCATCCGGTCAAATCTCCTCGAATTGCAAAACAGATTGTCATCGAACATGGACCTGTTCACGATGAGCTCTGTGTGCTATACGACGCTGTTCAACATCCTTCTTGCCGGCACAAACGCCGCGTACGGACATCCTGAACGGTGGTGGTTCGTGCGCAAGATCATACAGCTGTATCCCGATGTGCAGTCCCTGGATACCACGTATCAACTTGTAGCCGATTTCTTCGACCCGCTTGCACTGAATTTCAACGTGCTGCAGGATATTTGGGACGATGTCGTCCGTGTGAGAGGAGGTTTCGGCTACGGTGACCTTGCAACCAACGCCCAGGAAAATAGTCTACCGAGCAACAAGGTCGTGCGACCAGTGAAGCACTACAGGCCGACGACGTATACGCCGGACCTCAAGAAACCCACAGTGGTGCTGGAGATTGAGAAGGGCGAGGAGGATTCGCTTGAGGATCGGCTGCATAAAGTGGCGGGTGATTATACCGGGCGTCAGGCCCGATTGCAGTATGGTCCTCATCCTGGACCGCTTAGGTCATAATGGCGCGGCTCATCAATTGCTGACTAGACATGATGCAGGAATGTCATGTTTACCGGATCAAGAGTACGTTAAGCAGCAGGATTGTTGACAGACCGGAGACATTTGATGAGGGAGACCTGCCC